ACCGCCGTGCATGATCCTTTTGAAATACTGACACATACTCCAAATAAGAAAGCTGGGCTTAGGTGAGTTTCTTTCGAGACCCAGTACTCAAACTTAGCGTCCAGTAATAAAACTCTGAGCCTACAATCAGTATTTGATCTGAGATCAGGCGTGACCGCGATCTTTGTCGAGTGTCCTGGCAATATTGGAAGTTCTTGAAACGCAGATGAATTGATAGTTAGATGTCCAACACCTCCACTCAATGCCCCGAAGGGTGCGAAGATTGGAGAGGTATTTTTTCACGGGGTTGGTAAGGCCACTGCAAAAGAAAGAATATTCATCAGTCAAGTGAAGGGAGCTTTAGCTAAGTCCATAGAAAGAATTGATCAAACGCACAGTATCAGATCTGGGCGTTAAAAGATATACTCAACGCCAGAAGGTCGAAACTCTGACGCTTAAAGTTTCAAACGCACAAGTTCAGATCTTCGGCCCGTTTAAAGATTCATTTAACGCAAAGGTCGAACTCTGCGTTAAAGATTTCGACACGCACAGTCCAGATCTGGGCCGTTTAAAGTTCATCAACGCAAAGTCGAACTCTGCGTTAAAGTTATTCGAACGCACAGATTCATGATTGGTGTTTAAAGCTCATTAACACAAAGAGTCGAACTCTACAGTTAAATATTCGAACGCACAGTTCAGACCTAACGTTGATTTTCATCAACGCAAAGGCTAAACTCTGCGTAAGTCTTCGAACGCCACAGTTAAGCCTGGCCGTTAATTATTCATCAACGAGAGGCTTAAACTCTGCGGTTAGGTTTCGACGCAAGTTCAAGCCTGGCGTTAAAAAATTTTCATAACGCAAAGGTCAAGCCCTTGACGTTTCGATTCAAAACGCAGCCAGTCTAACTCGCGTTACAATAACAAAACGAGTCATCTCCCTCGTTGCAAGAAACCCAATCTAGGGTTTTTCAGGGAAAACTCAGCCGAAGCAAGTTTGATGGCGCATTAATCTAGGTTTTACCCCCGAACTCCGAAGCGAGTTGACGGCCACGAAGGGCGACGCTTACCACCGACGGGCGATGAACCAGAACGGCACGCACCGCATGCCAGCAGGCGGAATCTATGGCGTGGAGCGCTTTCTTCTTGAACCCTGCGAAGAGAGGTTGGAGACGATGAACAAAAGGATTACGACGTCGAAACGAAGAGGACTTTCGTTAAAATTTCACCGACAAAGAGAGGAGAGGCAAAAAGATCGGCGTGACTTTTTGTTTGACCCTTAGCGGTCTATTTATAGACAGTAGATGAGCCTGCTCAAATCGGGTCGGGGTTCTAGGCCCAAAATCCCCCAAACGTTCGGCCTGTGCGCCTGTGACGTTTGAGTTCTGAACGCCCAGAATTCACCCCTGCGCATTATAATCCGCCGACTGCATCATACATTAGATGGAATCCCTAAACGCAGAATAATTTACCCCTGCGTTTCAGTCAATCAACGCAAGAAATCGTATAACTTAGTGCGATTCTGACTCAACCACAACGACTTCCTTATAGTTTTTATAGCCAAGACACTGGTTCCAAATAAATAAGAGGCTGAGGGCTAATGTCAGCATATCAAAAAGCTCTAAAAAGCCAAGAAGATAATAAGTATACCCCACAAAAGGAGTCCATTGGATGAGATACAATTAGATATCCAATCAACATAAGTCTGACAACGTCTTCTAAATTTTTGAGATCTAAAGTATTCGAATTTTCGTCCCGATCAATCCTGCGAACTTTCGAAAACTTTGGCAGGTCGGCGGTTTAGTGGCTGCATCTAAAAAATCACAATGGATAGCTCAATCCACTATCAAAAGCCCTCGATAATGGAACTTACAATCAGACGCACTTTTAATGCACTCATCCCGCAACTGCCTGCAACCGCATAAATAAACAAAAAAAAAAAAAAAAAAAATGGCCTCTTCTCTGAGCAATTGATCTTCGAGGGCTGCGACGAACTAGCTGACTAAATATAATATATTAGCAACTATTAGAGATTGCTGATGAGCAGTGTTAATGATTTCAGAACATAAAAAGGTTGGACTTAGTTGTGTTGGAGTCGACTTGAGTAGAGAGCTTTGGCAAATATCATCTTCAAAAACACTATGGATGTTTGATTCCGTCAAGCTCTCACAAACGAAAGCATACAATTCAAATAAGCTTTCCGAGGTCGACAGTCGGAAAGGGCAAATAGGCACGACTTTATCACACAGAGTCGAGTAAGAGTCAATTGACGCGGGCTTCCGACAGCTGATGAAAACCCTATTCAGCTTGGCCTTTCACGAATCGTTGGTGAGAGTTACAATCTGACGACTCTCATATTCCTTATAACAGGCCAAGACAATAAACAATGGCCTTTGCAATTGTTTCATGGCCAGACGATGTTACACAGTCAAAACCTCTATCAAAGTAGAAGTTTATCTTGCGTTTCTCAATAATCGAAACGCACACAATTGTGCGTTTCCAGGCGAATAGTCTAACTCTGCAACGCAGGAGACAAAATAAAACAAACGAGTTCAAGCACCAAACGCCACACGATAACGTGCGTTCTTCAATAGGTTCGAACTAAACGTGTCCTCAACTCTGGACGCAGAGTGCAGCTTCACGCACACGGCCTGCTGTGTTCTCAAATCTACTAACAATTTAACTGCTGCATTCTCAAGCCTATAAGACGCCAGAGTAAGCCACATAACGCCACTGAAGGCGTTTGACTTGTTTCAAACGCAAGATCGAACTGGCCTCAAAACCGTTTTATTCCCACGTTCTGAGCGGATTCATGACCCACAAAGGAGCGGAACAATAGGCGGTTGGTTGAACTCCCATCACCCTAATAATAACCAACTTACTCAACTGAGTAACGGGGTTGGCGGTGATTGAGAGGTTTAGATCAATTCGGTTTCTGAGATAAAAACCCAAATAGATTGAGGGGAGCGGATTCAAACCACCCAAAAGGTCAACAAATCTCGGCCAGATTGAGTAATCGGAGTAGAGATCTTCGGGAGAATCAAGGAACTTGATACAACAGATTCATTAATCAAATCCCGACAGGATCCTTCCATCAAGGTAATCATCCATTGGCAATTAACCGAATTTTTCGGTTCCAAACAACCTTGTTTTAGAGTTTTAACTATTCTGAGTTCTTTAAATCGTTAAGAGTTTTTATAGCTTCGTAACGCAAGTTAATCACACTCAAACCGACATTCAAGGTTTTCAACAACTCATTTCAGAGTCTTAAACAGTTTCAGAAGATTCTTCACACTCGTCACGAGTTCTAAACCGAAGTCATCAACATTCAGTTATTCAGTGTAAAGAAGGCGACGGTTATCGGATCGTCAACGCGAGATGCAAGATTCGACGAGCGATCAATCGAAGGAAGCAACTCATCGCTACCAAGAAGAACCCGTCTTAAAAAGGAGAGCAATCAATCCATTCTCATTCTCTTTTTGTAATCGGACATCCAAATTGTATATCGATTATCGATTTTGAGAGAATACAAGTCAAATTTTCTTTCTTTGTCTTTTTACATCAAATTTCCAACAAACATTTAGTACCCACCCTGTGGGTTAACTGTGCGATAAAAAAGGTAGATTTAAACTAACCTAAGAACACTGGAGGTCATAAAAATTCAGTCACTTCTCTATTCTGCTTTCTCTATTCAGTGGGGGGGAAAAATCTTTCTGCACTCAAGTTATTGACTTCAGCATAATTATCTTAGGGATCGGGTGAATTTTGTTATGTTAAACGTCGACAACACAAAGTGGGAGCAAGAATTGGACGAGTTTGGTGTGGAGGGCATCCCACATTTTGCTTTCTTGGATGGGAAAGGGAATGAAGAAGGGAATGTCGTTGGTAGACTCCCGAGACAATATCTGATGGAGAATGTTGCTGCTCTTGCTAATGGAGAGCCTTCAGTACCTCATGCTCGTGTTGTGGGAGAATACAGCAGCGCTGAATCCAGGAAAGTAAAACAGGTTTCTGATCCAAGAAGTCATGGTGGAAAGCTTTAGTGAGCGCCAAATTCATGTTGAAGTAAGTTCTCTCCTTAGAAATTTCACTATAATTTTCTGCAGACTTTATGCTCTTCAATAGTACTACTTAAGATTAGATCGTTGCGTTTCGTTCTCTGATAGTTTACCTTATGTACTTAGTGAATTTTCGATGATATGAACAAATATAAAGACTCATAATGTTAAAGTTTAGTCACGGTGGAAGTATCTATTTAGTGAGTTTTTATTTGGTGAAGAATAAGATAGAAAAATTCCAAGCTATATATTTTTTGAAATTAGTTCTTTTGTAAAGTTCTTCAAAAAGAGGTAAAGAGAAGAAAAAGGGAAAAGAAAAGAAGAAGGATTGTATTTTTTTTTTTTTTGTTCATGCAATTGTTGAGTTAAGATCAGATAAAACGGCTCAGGGTAATTAAAATTTATTTTTCATTTTTGAGTAAAGCTCCTGGCGATTAAGTTTGGTAGGATTTCTGTAGCTTAGAATCACCATAAGTTTGGATTAGTTTGCTCCATATGATATGTGAGGCATCTATCATCTGTAACGTCTTTCAACACTTCTGGCTCCTGAATAGAACAAATTACTCTGCTTCAAAAGAGAAAAGAAAGAGGAAGTAATAATCAGTTTCCTGGTTTTCTTCTATCACAGGCCTCAATCTGTGATCCTGGGGCTTGCCTGAGGAGGAGCACGACCACGTATCAAACACTATACTAGCGAGCTTTACTTGTTGTAAGTTGTAACAGTATTTGTGGATCTTTTACTAAAATTTATTCGACGGTACTGATTTTTATTGGTCCATTGTCCATAATCAATTTTCCTACACAGCAGTGTACTGGTTTCTTATCCTTCTTCTTGTGTATCCCTACATTAGCACAACACATCACACATAAGGGGGTTGTTACTCCCAACACTCAGTTCACTGTAGAAAGTATGATTCAAATTGAAATAATGAACAATACTCAATATTAAAGAAGTATAGTTTGTGGGGAGAAAGAAAATATTATTTGTGTACGATTCAAATTGAATTATCGTCTTTATAAACTATAATTGTTCATTATTTTTTAAACTCTTGAGATTGAAAGTGAATATAACTGTTGCCATACTCATAACTGTTACAACACCCGTATAACTCTCGCATCATTTTGTTCCCCCACTCTTTATGATCTTCTTAATTCTATAATTTAAATATTTTAGTTTATATAAATCAAAGTATTATTATTTTGATTTTCTTCCATTAGTAATATATAATTCAGTTTATTATTTGAGCTTGGAAAATTTTGTTAGTATATAATTTGTGCATTGCATTAATTACCTCATGCATTTTACCCATGAATTTTTCTAATACCAAGACTACTGTAGTTAGTTGAGCGGCTTATTAATAACTCTAAACAAGTGACAAAACCCTTAATAATAAACCAAGTCTCTATACCTAAATAGCACCTTCCCAAATAACATTAAATATTACATTGTGAAAAAAAAATTCTTAAGTAAGTTTGTGCTGTTCATTGGAGTTGTTAGTATTTGTTTGTAAAAAAACAAGATAGTCCCACGTTGGAATTTTGAACATTCCTTTAGAGGTTTAAAAGCATTGAATGTTTATTGGGCTTTGAATAATGGATTAAAGTATAGGCTTCTAAACTCGCGTGCAGGTAGCGCGATTATTAGACGCACTTAACCCGCTTAAATGTTCTATTATATATATATATATATATATATATATTACAAACTTGTTTCACAACGAATTAAGGAAAATTCCAGATTTGCTTACTGGAATTTTTATTTTCTATTGTATCCTGGAAAGAAATTTTGTATTAACCCGAAACAACTTTGAATATCAAGTGGGCACAAATATTTTTTTAAGGAAAGTGTTTCACGCCTCAAAACTTCTGTCTCCTTTATTTTTTTAAAAATAACAGGAGTTACACGGATGAAGGTTGTAACGTTCGGTTTATTTCTCGATTAATCTTTTTTGTAGTCGTCAGTGAGCATAATTCCACGTGATTTTTACTCATTCAGCCTCTCTAATCTGTGGTTGGATGCTGTAACAAAGTTGTGATATAATGCACAAGAAACAGGGTTTTATTAATCAAACAATAGATAATGCATACTCGATTTATTAAAAAAGTATTGAATTATCATATATAACTAATAATTTTAAATTTGAGATGATCAAAATATTTACCGTCATAGAAGAGAAAATTCACATGTGGACATGTACAAATTAGTACTAGTTGGATGTACAAATATTTTACTTATGTTTTCGTTAATTACATGACTCACATGTAACTGGTTCCAAATATTCTATTTAGGGTAAATTACATTGTACCCCTATGAGCTTTTAGCATTATGCGGTAAACCACCAATAGCTTTCAAAATCATACTAAACCCACAATAACTTTCAAAAATCGCACTAAACCTCCAGTAACTTTCAAAATCACACTAAACTCCCAATAAATTTTACAAAAAATCCCTAAAGTTGGCATTGTTACATCTGATATGGTATGTACGACCCACATGACTTAAAAAGACCAAAATGCCCCTTGTATTATTAAAAGCCTCTTTATGACCTTTTTTTATTTTCAATACTAAAAACATAAATCTCTTGTTTTTTGTCATTCGTTTTCCTATTGGTCTTGCCCAAATTGGAATCCTAAACCCTAATTATTTTTTATTTTTTCTTTTACTGAACTTGTCCTTCAAAATGTCTTCTTATGTTGTTTATTGGTTCCAATTTATGGGGTTTTCTGTAAAATGCGGAAATTTATTGGGGGGTTTTTCACAATTTCAAAAGTTATTGAGAATTTAGTGTGATTTTTGAAAGTTCTTTGAGTGGGTTTACTGTGAATTTTAAATTCATTAGGAGTTTACCGCTAAACACTAAAAGTTCATGGGGTTTAGTGTAATTTACCTTTTTAATGAAGGGTTAATTTCACAAAACCCCATGAACTTTGGTGGTGTTGCACATAACCCCCATGAACTTGTTTATCTCACATAATCCCCCTGAACTATGAGGTATCTCACAAACCCTTGAACTTTAGCTTATCTTAGCTAATCCCCCTACCTGTAATTTGCAAATAACTAAATTCTCTTTAAGTGAAAAAAAAATCTAAACTTTATCACCTGTCATTTACCTACAACATACTCCTTTCTCTAAAGTTTGAGTTTTTTCCCCCTAGATCTCAAGAAAATATTAGTTATTTGCAAATTAAAGTAGGAGTATTATGTGAGATAAACTAAAGTTCAGGGGTTTTGTGAGATACCCAATAATTCAGGGGGTTTTGGGAGATCCCTCATAGTTTTGGGGTTATGTGAAATAAACATAGTTGCCCCCCCCCCCCCCAACACACACACACACCAAAAAAAAAGTTCAGGGGTGTTGTGTGAAATTAACCCTTTTATTTATTCTCTATTTTTTTCACGCCTTGGGTTTTTTTTTTTTTTTTTGACCTACACAGTTAAATCAAGTCAGATGCTAAAAATGCTACAATTATTAGTGTTAGATTGGTTCCAATGTGAACAATAAGCTCTACCTGATCTAAACAATTTATAGCTGAAATTTCTTGACTACGATCCTTTATTATTTTTATCTATTATTTATTTTATTTTTTTTGAGGTAAAATGGGGGCAAGAAGCCCTATTTCAGAATTATATTAATATGTACGGAAAGTATGTACATCGGTGACATCTTTTAAACTCTATAGTTCCAGATTAATATGTGTCCGGTAGGCAGAAAATATCAATCATGGGTCCATAGTAGGAAAAGGATAGGACCATAGCCGCCACTTATCTGAAGCCTAGAGAGCCTAGAGAGCACCATCTTATACACGTGTAACTAGAAGTTCTAACCCCCGTGCACGCACGGATCGATCTGATTTCTATTGTTTGAATATGATAATTTTTACCTCAATTTTGATTAATTTTCTAAATTGAATTTTGTTGAAATTCCTACCTTTTTTGCCTTTCATATTTCAAGGGTGTTTGTAATTTTCAGATTTTTAGATGTTTGATTTGTAGTTTTCAAATCTCAAGGGGTTGTTTTCATTTTAAAATTTTGTATTGGATTGTTTGTAATTTCCGACTTTTAAAGAGTTGTTTGTAATTTTTAGATTTTTCAAGGGTCGTTTATAATTTTCACATCTTTAAGAGTCTGTAATTTTTTAATTCTTCAGAATGTTGTTTATAATTATTAGATTTAAAGGGGTCTATTTGTAATTTTTTGTCCTTTTAGGGGTTGTTTGTATAGATTATAAAGGGGGTTATTTATAATTTCAAATCTGAAGGGGCTTTTTGAGGTTCTGATTTTCCAAGAAATTGTTTATAACAGTGTGGAAAAAATGGTTGATGTTGTCAATAAATTACTAGAGGGAAAAAAAGAGAGAAATCTGTAAGCCCATAACTGGTTGATTTTGCAGTTATATATCAAACGATAATAATTGATTTACAGTTTACTTTTCGTCCTTTCCGGTAAAATTCTAAATTACTCGGAAGGGCCCTATCCATTTATCCATCACAAATAGGGTTTACTAACAAACAAGGGTTGGATTCGGTGAGGACGGTGCTAGAGCCAGAACGCGCTACCGTCCGCGCCTTTCACATCATTTGCGGTATTTAGTTCTGAACGCCGCATTGCCCTTTTCGCATGTTCAGCCAAGATCAGGTTCAAACAATTCCTAGTCGCAGCACGAGAATACACTTGGATTTCCATATGAAAATAACACGGATTTCCAAACAACATTAGATTTAGTCCAACTTCAAAA